TTGGCCAAATAATGCGCCAACTACGGATGCTATAATCGCGAGCGACTGAATCATTGAAAAATAAACATTACCGCAGTTACTTTAAAAACTCACACAAAACAGCTGGATCGCTTTTTCTTTTTTTAAGAAAGAAGGGTATTTATGCATCGACCGATGGGGATGAAACACTTCATTCCCTGTTCTTCACTTTGGATCTTTACGTTAGTTCCACACAGTCGGTACAGAAATACTTTAAACTCCTTGTTTGTTGGGGAATACAATGGGATTTAGGGGGAATGCTGGAAGATCCGGCTATTCAGGCTCCCCTTGTCCCCTTGCTCAAATAAATCAGGAAATCAGTATAAGACTGTATGCTGGAGAGGTAGACAGCTGTTTCAGGTCAAGCCATGTGAGGATATTCACGATTATGGAAATTCACCACCATACATTTATATGACTGTTTTTATTGCGATACGCAATAATAGCGTATATCATCCCAAGACTCTTCTCAAAGGCTGACTGTTGACCTGTTGACTGACCTGTTGATATCAGCAGTAAAAGCACAAACACTTTGGCTTTAGTGCTTTCAGTTATAGTTTTTTAAACTTAAAATGTCTGATGGTCCTAACAAGTATCCAAATTTTCTGCTTTTCAGTATTTCAATGAGCCAGATTTCATTATGAAAGACCTCTCTGTCAAGAATGTTGCTCCTCGCATACAAGGACAAACTGGCCTGCAACATAGACCAAGAGACAAGGATGTTGTCATGAGGGACTTCTCTGTACAAAACGGCCCACATTCCAACAGAGGACAAAATCGTCCTCTGTACAGGCACAAAGATTTAGACATCGTCATGATGGATGTCTCAGTTCGGAACGGCCCTACCGTCAGAGGACAATTTTGTCCTTTGTACAGGCCACCAAGGGACATCGAGGATGTTGTCATGGAGGACGTGTCTCTCCCAAACGCTCCTCCCTCCAAAACCTTCAGGGTTGTTGATGGTGCATCAATGTGGAATCCACTGGAGGCTCGAAGGCAACGTCCAACAAAAAGGACAGATGATGTGACTGAAGTGCCCAGCAGTAGGTAGGTGTTCTGTCCCTTCCCTGTTGATGATTTACACTGAGGATTTAGAGGGCCAGGGTGTATGTATATTTAGAAGGATCTATTCAGACATTGAATATGATATTCATGAGTACTCATTAGTGTATAAACACCTGAATATAGGAATCGTTGTGTTTTCATTACCTTAGAATAAGCAGTTTTTATCTACAGTAGCCCAGAACAGACAAACCAAACACTGGCTGTAGATAGGGCCTTTGGCATTTTTTGAGAGTTTCACAGCCATTGCACTTTCTCTTACACACTTCATAGCCTGTCAAAGACAGACACCAGCTGTTTTCAGCTGAAAATGTACTGCTAGATTCCACTAAAACCGACACACTGTCCCTTCAAGATTTAAACACATATTTTTTCTGCCCTAAAGCCTAGACTGGAAGAGAAGACAGCTCAACCTGGAGACCCAGAAGAGAACTTCACTGGGTCCAACTGGTGCACACAAGCTCCAACATCAGGGGAAGAGACTGACAAGGAACCACTGCCCCCCCAGCCAGCCGCCACAAGGAACCTCAGCCTGGAGGCAATAGAACCCCATTTCTGAGGGACAGCTGAGCCAGAACCCAGGAGCTCTATAACTTCAATGTTGTCAACTGGTTATAAAAACAGATAAAATTGATCATTGTTCCGTCACTAGTTTGTGTAAAACCAGAGATTTGGATGAATTCTGAGCAGATAACCCTAACCCTGTGAATATTTAGTTTTTGTGGTATTTTTAGAAACTTTTGATACAATTCTCTGTATGTATTATGTTTCTTTTATTTTTAACAATCAGACATACTTAATATGTAGGGTGACCAGGTGTCCCACATAAATTTGTTACTATTCCAAAGAGGAGAATATATATCTGAGATATGTCCAGATGTGAGCCTCCACTTATCTTGTTCCCTCTTTAGACAGGAGTAGATATTCTAAACCCTGTCTCAGCAATATTTGGAGTTGCTAAAGAAATAAATCTCAAAATATAAATGAAACACCTTACTGCATGACATTTGAGTTTCTGATTGCCAGAAGATCCTTCTCAAGTGGAATGATGAAATGCCACTCACCTATACTCACTGGATGGGATCTAATACAGTTGAAGTTGCAGTTAACTATGGTTAGGTTTAGTCTAAAGGGGCCTCAACCAATGTTGCAGAAAAGCACAGAAAATGACTCCTAAATATCTGTTGCAAACAGTTTTGATATGTGCAGTGTCGAAAAACAGTTACTGGATACAAATTATCTAATCTGAACACTTTTGGATTACTCCAAAATCAAACAGTGAAAATATTACACCTTATACTAAAGGAATGGGGAATTATAGGGACATTTTCTGAAAAACCTATAGTAAAAATTTATAATTTGTCATTTTATTAGACATTGACTGCATAAAACATACGGGTTAGAATATGGGTTTATTCACAATAGATACAATGTGAAGAGTTAAAAGTACATTGGTGATTCCAAAGTCACATAAGAGTCCAGTAGGTGATGAAAAACTGAAAAAGCATAAATTAACTTGCTAATGTTCCGCTGATTACCTACAAGTGTAGTTGGTGTGAATAGTGACTGTTCAGTTTAAAGGTGCAGTGTGTAACATTTAGGAGGATCTATTGGCAGAAATGGAATATAGTATTTATTCAGGTATGTTTCCATTAATGTAATATCACCTAGGAATTATTATGTTTTTGTTACCTTAGAATGAGCTGTTTTTATCTACAGACAGGGGACCCCTGTCATGGAGACAAACTAAACTCTAAATAGGACTGTTTACATTTTTTGTGTGTTTTGCAGTCACCATAGTTTTTCCTACAAGCTTGGAATAGGACAGTGAGGCAAGGGGTTTGTACGGTGGCCGAGAGGTATCAGCGAATTCCAAAAGCCACAACACAACTGAAGTGAGTGACAACAGATGTTAACAACGAAACGGCGCAGATTGTTATTAGCAGCGAACTTATTGACTACTAATGTGTGGAAGAGGAAAGTTGCTGCCCGTTTGAGAAATATTAAGTGAAATGTTGATTAAACTATGATTACCATTGCTAAAAGTCTAATTTTCAAAGTCATCCACTCCTTCTGTATGTAAATGTTTCAAATGTTTTCCTGCTGGACACAA